CTGGTGTCCTCGGTCATGCCCACTTTATGTATCTACTTTGGGGAAAAGTCATGTGTTTTGTGGTTTATTTTCTTAACCGTAAAATATTAATTTACGGACGAAATTCGACGTGAACTGTACGAGGGCCTTCCTAGTGAAGTACTGTCAGATGCTGAGGTAGTGAAGAGCCGCAGGCAGCTGAGGGAGAACTCTCTAGAAGCCGTGAGGTGGTCTAGGCTCTAAGTCGGGTGTCAGCAAACTGCAGCCCGTAAGCCAGATCCAGCCGCAGCTAGTGTATACAGCTCACAAGCTAAGAATGGTTTTTACATTTTTAAAGGAGATTTTAAAAAAAGAAGAACGTGGGACCAAGACTATATGTGGCTCACAAAGCCTAAAATATTTAACGCTCTGGCTGGCTGTTTACAGAGAAGCCTGCCAGCCCCTGTGGTATTGACCTTTCAGTTAGAAAGGACCTTCTTCCATTTTGAGAGTCCTAGATTGCGGAAGAGTTTATAAAAGGTGTGGATTCTCTCCCGTGTACACATCCACGTATGTACAATTACATTTATGATTTTGAGGCATTAAGGGCTCATTTTCTTTCTAAAAACCAAAACAATGCAACCGTAATAAATATTAATAAGCAAAGTACGAAGCAGTTATTTTTCTGACAAGGGACATTTTTTCCAGTTTTTCTGTGAAATAGATAATAGCACGTTGGGTCATCACAGTTTGCCCCTTTTCCTCTCTTCGGTCCTCAGACTCTCCTCAAACGCCAGTGACGGTGGCAAGCCCGTCTCCTCTTTCTGTGGATTTCACAGAAAGCTGGCTTACTGTGGAATCAAACTTGGTTTCTCTAGAGCCTCTGTTCGTGATCTCCGCTCTGACCTTTGGGGCCATGAGAACCAAGTCTGGTTCTTCTGTAATCACGAGTCTAAAGCTGAGATGCTTGAAAAAATTCTGTCCTCCCAGGCCCTCCTAGAGATTCTGATTTAATAGGGCCAAGAGGGCCTAGGAGTCTACATTTGGAAATAGTCCTCCAGGTGATTCTTTCTTTCAGCCCCGAGAATTATTTCTCATGATACTTGAAGCCCTAGAGGTTTCTTTTAGCTCAGGGTAACTGAGTTCGCTGCGGCAGAACAGCTCTCATCCTACCTGTAGCTGGTCCTGCTGCTGGAAGGAGAGGTGGGGAGTGGAGGGGCAACACCCCAGGGCCGTGTGGGCCCCGTCCTGACCCTTTCTGTTTCTCTGCAGGAAGTTGGAGCTGCCACTTGTGTCTGGACCTGTTGAAGGAGAAAGCTTCCATCTACCAGAACCAGAACTCCTCTTGATGCGCCCCCGTCCCCGCTCCCCTCCCCCACCCCCGTGCATCTAGGGCTGTTTCTCTCCTCCTCTCTTGTTTTTCATGCCCACCTCTACCCTCCTCCTCTTTCACGAGTCCAGAGAACCTCGGGTGGTCGTGCCAATCTGCCTTTGGCAGCAGCAAGCTGGGGTGGCAGCTCTGGCCGCCCCTGGCCCTAGGCCCTCAGGGAGAACGGAGCAGCACACTGCCCCGAGGCATGCCTGCGGCCCGGCTTCTCACTGCTCTCCGTGACGCGCATTCACTCTGCCTGCCTTGGGCCCCGGCCCTGGTGATCACAGGGTTCAAACAGTGTCCTCTGAGAAGGAGTAGGAGAGCAGCTCGCTTTTCTCTCTGCTCTGCCTCCACTCTGGTCCCCAGGGTGTTCCCGTCCCCTGGAGGCGAGCGGACCAGGGTCTCTTTGCCAAGAGCGGCTGGGAGTGAGCAGCTGAGCGAGCTGGGGCAGCGCTCGCACGGAGCTTTCCGGGCCTGTTGTGCCGCTTAGCCTCGCTGCCTCCTTCCCCTAGAATGGCTCTCTGCAGCCCTCTCTTCCTGCTACCCAGGATCCTTTGCCTGAGCCGGGATGCTCTTGGTCACCCTCCGTGTTCTGTCCTGTCCCACTCACTCCACCCCACCCCAGGGGGAGTAGCAGCTTCACCTGATTCTTCCTTGTGCTCACCTGGCTCGCTCGCAGGCGGTCTCTAACGACCGAAGCATTCCCCGCCCTTGGAATTTCCTGTCTTCTGCCTCCTCTCCTTATTCCCTTTGGTTTTGTGGGGAGAGGGGGAGAATCAGGGGGCCAGGCCAGCAGCTTGGGGGCCACAGGGAGACGTTGGATAATGTGCCTGTTTTTTAACTCGATGAAAAAGCCTACCTCCGAAATCCCCTTTTTGTTCTTCCTGGACCTGGACATTCAGCTCCTGCCCTTAACTGAATTGGGAGCCTCTGCCTCCTGCTCTGTGTATCCTGGCTCCTGGGTCACAGGGAAGCCACACAGACATCCCTTTCTTCCCTTGCACGCTCGCTAGCGGCTGGTAAGGTCTTCACACCCTGGTTCCTCAGTTTTTTGCCTGGTGACACTGACATGAAGTAGTGGGGGGGACAGTCCATGCCAGGACACCCTGGAGTGGCCTTCCCCTTGGCTGTGGGCAGGCCCTAATTCACTGTCGCTTTGGAGTTGAGGTGTCTTTTCTTTCTTTAGTTCCTGTATTCTAAACATTAGTACAAATAAACGTTTTTACACAGAACTCCCTGCTGGATGGTTTATCTCCTGACTCCCTTTCCCGGTTAAGAAGGTCATTTCATCCTAAAACTTCTTCCCTAGGACAGTGGTTTTTATTTAATCTCAAAGTTTTTGCTGAACCCCCGTATGTAAAGCATATATAAAAAATTGAGTACTCTGTTCTTTTTTTTATAAATTTTTTTTTTTAACATTTATTTATTTTTGAGACAGAGAGAGAGCATGAACAGGGGAGGGTCAGAGAAAGAGGGAGACACAGAATCTGAAACAGGCTCCAGGCTCTGAGTTGTCAGCACGGAGCGCGACGTGGGGCTCGAACCCACGGACCGCGAGATCATGACCTGAGCCGAAGTCGGACGCCTAACCGACTGAGCCACCCAGGCACCCCGAGTACTCTGTTAGTTCTAACTCCTTAAGTGTATTTGTGTTACAACTATTCCTTGTTGTAAAGGACAGAGTTGTTCCAGTTAATAAAAAACTTGGGTTAGAGTCGGGTTCAGCATCCTGTTTCTGTATTTTGGTTGGTTTGAAGGAAATTCTGCGAGACTTGTATATGCACATGGTGACAGGTTTCTAAGAGTTGATCTTGGGATTTCAGATACTTTACACGGGTTCAGGAGCTTGAGTCTAAATATAAAAGAATCACAGAAGAAAATATTACGATGGGACATGTGAAAGCTTTGTGCATGGATAATGCACATGAGCAGAGAGACCCCTCACTCAGCCTTGCTTGCCTGGCATTCGTTCCTGTAGGTACAGTGTGCATGAGCTCGGCCCCCACTGCCACCTTCCTCGGGACTTGTCTACATGCACAAAAATGAGTTTCCTTCTTTGCAGCCAGCTTTTTTTTTTTTTTTTTTTTTTTTT